AGGGTCTTTTCGGGGAGGGGGCATGGGCTTGGGGAATTAAGAGTTGCGAGGATTTACAGGCTTGAAGGGCTCACTGTGATTTAGGAAGTTTTAGGGTTTGAGGGTTTGCTCCAAAACACCTAAACCCTAAACGCTAAACCCTAAACCCTAAACCTTAAACCCTAAACCCTAAATTGTGTTTCGGCTTTCAGGATTCTTGGGTTTCTTTGCTTTCAGGATTTGTGGGTGAGGGCGGTTTTGAGGTTGAGGGTGCAGGATGTGCCCTACTAAGGGTTTAGGGTTTAGGGATTAAGTTTTAGGGTTTAGGATTTAGGGTACGTACCTCACATTGTACTTAACATGTCACCACATCACCACATGTAGGTACTACTGCCTCAACCCGAAACTGCTATTTGCTTAAGAACCCCTAAAAGAACAAACATAAGAACCCCTAGATTACCCTGAAAAGGAAGCATATTTTTGAATTTTTTGGGGGATTCTTAAGCAATTACTAGAAAACCCCTGCCAAAACAAGAAAAACAAGCAACAAGGACGTCCAGATCCGAGCCAGGGACGTGGGCTCTGCGACGTCACCTCCCTCCTCCAGAGCCTTGCGCTTCCTGAGGCATTTAGGGCACCAGGGTTTGTCAGGTTTAGATGGGGAGGCTTAGGAGGTGTAGGGGTGTTGTGGTGTTGGGGGAAACTGGGCTTAGGGCTGTTGGGTTGGGTGGTGGCTTAGGGATTTGTGTGGGGCTTGGAATTGAATCTTCAACCCTTTGCAACCAACGTGAAGAGAGGCCACAAAAGCCTCCCCTAAAATCTGAACCCCAAACCCTACCCCCCTAGTCTTAGACTGTAAATTAAACCCTGCATGGGCCTTGACAAACCAGAACCTGAAACCATAAACCTGAAGCACCCTAAGAAATAAACAGCCCAACTCCTGAAAGCCTCAAGCCACATCACTGCCCTGCTCCTTAACCCCTTAACCCTAAACCCTAAACCCCAAACCCTAAACCCTAAACCCTAAACCCTAAACCCTGAACCCTGAACCCTGAACCCTGAAACCCTGAACCCTGAAACCCTAAACCCCAACCCCAAACCCCAAACCCCAGGGTGCCTGCTTACCATCCCCATGGTGGGCGACAAGATAAGGCTGCGCCGCTGCCGTTATATACGCCCCTTACAACGCCCGCAAAGGCCGTCATAAGCGCTATGAGAGCATTTAGCCCTATAAAAAACTTACAACCTATAAAAATAAATGAATGGCTACATATACATACATATATATATATGTATATGTATATATATATACACATATATCGATTGTGTATATATATATACATACCTATCTATATGTAAATATGTATATGTATATATATATATGCCAACTAGCAGTGGCTCTTGGGGCTGGAGTGATGTTTTCTTCCGCAGAGCTCGAACTGCAATGGCTAAGCCAGGGTTTAGTTGGTTTAGGGGGTTTAAGGTTTAAGGTATGGGGTTGATTGGGGTTGAGGGTTTGGGGGCTTTGGGGTTTACAGGGCTCACAGCCCCAAGGTTAGAAGAGCTGAAGGGCTTTCATAGACCCAGGAGCAACCTAGGAACCAAAAGGGTACCCTTTTTGGCTTCAAGGGGATTATAAGAGACCCAAAAAAAGGAAATAAGAGAGCACTCCGGGTCCTAGTTTAGCACTTCAGCAACAGCATGGCATGCCTGGTGCGCACGCACCGAGTTACCTTGCTCAGGCAGCTCAACATGCAGTTTAGGGTTTAGGGTTTTTGTTCTGTTCTCAACTGCCTTTTCCTGGCCTTTGAACTGCATACTTTGTGCAGGTTTGCCCTTGCCATGCATGCACAAGCTTCTTTGGCCAGTCAGGCGCACCCTAGGGGTCCATCTACCTTTGGTAGAATTTAATTGTCCCCTGAAGTGACTACATAGGATAGGAACCCCTTAAGAGAAGCCCAAGTGTAGACTCTATTGGGTACATGGGCCCTTCGGGCGCACGGACATGTCTCGCACTATGAGGATCCCTCTTCTGAGAAGCCTCAATCTGCCCCAAGCCCAGAGATTGGGAACTCCTCTTCCTAACCCGTGTCAGGGCTGTAAGGCGTGAGCAAGGTTAGGGTTTCGGGCTTAGGGTTTAGGGGCCTAGGAGCTTCGGAATTTATAGTTAGCGCTGAGCCCAACAAGCTTTGGAGACATGCCCACATGCGGACAAGGGAGAGCAAGAGCATTGAACCGAGGACACGGCTCCATTCCGCACAAGCAACAGCTGCTCTAGTCTCCAAAACCATATATGTTACTGAAAAACCAGCTTGCAAGCCAACATGTCCCGTCGATGCCCAGGCTCTGTTGGGCCAAACTACGATGTGGCAGCGCGCATCACAACGCAATCCGGTCCGTCAGCACCTCACGCAACGGTTTAGGGTTTAGGGGTTAGGGTTTAGGCTTTAGGGTTTAGGGTTTAGGATTAGGGTTAGGGAGCATTGACAAGGATGGGACTGGATGGCCCGCCGCAAGCTTCCCGAGCTGGGCTGCGTACGCGTACCTTCGGGTTCAGGGTTCATATAGTGCCTAAACCCTAAACCCTATACCCTAAACCATAAACCCTAAACCCTAAATCCTCAACCCTAAACCCTAATCCTAAACCCTACACCCCAAACCCCTAAACTCTACAAACCTCAACCCCCACTCCGCAAACTTCCCCCCAACATTCCGGCCTCTCGCGGGGGCGACCGAAAGTGCAGACCTTCCATGGACTGGGAGGGTTTTTGGGGGGTAAAGCCCACCCTGGAGTCCCTACGCTCTACATGGGTTGGGTTTAGGGTTTAGGGTTTAGGGTTTAGGGTTTAGGGTTTAGGGTTTAGGGTTTAGGGTTCAGGGTTCAGGGTTCAGGGTTGAGGGTTGAGGGTTTAGGATTTAGGGTTTGGGGTGTGGTGTGCTTAGGGTTTGGGGGTTTTGGACGGATTGGGGTGTAGGACCTTAATTTGCAAACCCCCAGGCCTTGGGTTTTGGGAGCTGGACACACCAACATAACAGAAAAAACCTGATGTTCTGGTTGTATACTTGGGTTTAGGGTTTAGGGTTTAGGGTTTGGGGTTTGGGGTTTGGGGTTTGGGGTTTGGGGTTTGGGGCAACGACCGATACGCTGGTAGCTCAGTAGCCATATCACAACAAAGGCGCCTGGCTTGTTTTGGGTTGGTTGCTTTACAAGGGAACCCAGAAAGAAGAAAAATGGGGTACAGGGTAACACTGGCAGCCAAGATACCCGAAATCTCATCTTAACAGCCCTAAACCCTAACCCCAAACCCCGAACCCTAAATACTAAACCTACTAGGACTGGCCGGGCCACCGCCCCGTAATCTGAAGAGCCTACAGACTTTCGAGCTCCGCATCTGCCGCCCTAAACCTAGACCCTAGACCCTACACCCTAAACCCACCCTAAACCCTAAACCCTAAACCCTAAGCCCTCAACCCTCAACCCTACCCCCTAAACCCTACTGAGGCCCTACTGCGAAGTCAAATCCCATCGCCCCGGCACCCCCGACATTCTCAATTCGTGGCCCAGCCGCTCGAGCAACTGCTGACGCTCCCCCCTGGCGCCTAGCAGAGTTTGGGCGGGTTTTAGGGTTTCGGGTTTAGGGTTTAGAGTTAATGGTTCCGGGCTTAGGTTTAGAGTTATGGGCTTGGGGCTGGCAAAGCAGCCTACACCCTAAAGTCGAAAGCCGAAACCCCACCAGCGCAACCCCCAGCTACATCAGTTATTCTCGAAGTACCTGCCCTTAAGGGCCCTGTAGCCTCCCATAAGGGTAGTTCGGGGCAGGTCTAGGCAAACCCTCATAGCCTGTAGCCCTGGTCTTGGAACCTGCATCATAGGGATTAGAGCTGCTACAGGCTGTTAGGTTTAGAGTTGAAGGTGAAGGGTTCATAAGGCTTGGGGGTTCATAAGGTTGAGGGTCAGAGTTTGGGGTTAGTTTACAGGGGCCCACACCCTGTAGCTCTAAACCCTAAACCCTAAACCCTAAACCCTAAACCCTAAACCCTAAACCCTAATCCCTAAGTGCTCCGAGCTTTGCAGGGTTTGTGCTTCGGCCTTGGCTGTACTGGGGCCCTGGGGCTGAGGCTCTTAAGCTCAGGGTTATAGGGTGATAGTTATAGGGTTATAGGGTTATAGGGTTATAGGGTTATAGGGTTATAGGGTTATAGGGTTATAGGGTTATAGGGTTATAGGGTTATAGGGTTATAGTTATAGGGCTTGGGGACCTGGGGGTTTCAAGACAATGCACCGCAATGAACCCCACAGCGCAACAAGTAGCAAGGCCTGAACGCAACATGTGCTACGCTATGAATTTGCTGCATGTGATATAGAGAATATGCTTAAACCCTGCAAACCCTAGAAACCCTAAACCGACATTTGTTACAGTCAAACTTATTATACACAATTATATACACATTATGTATACATACTGGCCATTTAAGGGTTTGTATGCTGCTGAGATCGAGGGTTTAGGGCTTAGGGTTTAGGGGTCAGGGTGATTTGGTTCGGGGTCGTCGGTTTTGAAGACTTCAGAGCTGGAGGGTTGCTACCTGGAGGTTCATGGGAACTTACTAAGTGGGCTTACAAGTACCTTCAGCAGGGTTATAAAGTTGTAACCCTGCTTTCCCTACTTGTAGCCCTACTTCTAGGTACTCATGAACCGCCCAGTCGGGTTTCAGTGTTCTTGCCTTTCCGATCTTTCGCACTGCCGGCGGGCGTGCGCCATCCCTTTGGGAGGTCGCATGCGCCGAAGCAAGTCAGACCGTGGTTCAAAGAAGCTGGAGAGGGACTTCTCCAAGCCCATATAGACCCAAAGTCAGACCTAGAGACAACTTTATGCCCTTCAACAACAAGAACATGTGCCTTAAGTTTCGAGCGTGCTTACCCGTACTTCAGGTATAAGGTTCCTCGGATCCAGGTATCCCCTACAAGCCCTATGAAGCCTACGTCTTTTCAAAAAAAACCACAGGAGACTCACAAGTGAGCATCACACCCGCCCCTCAGCCAAGAGGAAAGCCAGAAGCTCCTCCTGGCAGCAAGAGACGACCCTGATCCCACGGGCGCAACATTGTGGGCTTAGGCTTATTATGGGTTTATATAGGTTTTAGGGGTTTTTAGGGGTTTATAAAACCCTAAAGCCCGAAACTCTGGTGGGCGTTGGGTTTAGTCAGGGGCCTGGATTTCATGGTTACTTCTGGGGTAGGGTTACATGGTTACAACCATCGTTGCCCGAGCCAGAATCCTACTTGTAGGCACCCCCTGAACCTCCAAGTACTGTAAAACCCTAAATCCTTACTAACCCTAAGCTCTACAGCCTGAACCCTGAACCCCTACACCCTGAACCCTAAACAAGCCCTAATTTGCCAATGCCCGCATCTTTTTGGGTTTAGGGTTTAGGGCTGCTTTTTTGGTTCAAGGCAAAACCCTAACCCCCCCCCCCCCCCCCAAAAAAAAAATAAAAGCCGGGAGAGTGTGGTCTTTGGGACCAACAAACCACGCCCAGCAGCCAAGGATTAAAAAAGCGTGCGCTTTGCTGCTTGGATAAGGGCACCACTGGGCATCCTAGCCCTGTAGGGGCCTGAGGGTTTAGGGTTTAGGTGTTAGGGTTTAGGGTTTACGCAAAGGCACAAGCCCTGGGGAGAACTTTTCTTCCCGTTCTCCAAGGCCTTCGCCGCGGAGGAACGCTCCGTCAGACCGCGGTTCACGTGCTCCAGCTTGACAGTGTCCTACCCCAACTAGGATTTCTAAACCCTAAACCCTAAATCCTCAACCCTGCCCTTAAAAACGCTCAGAAAAGTATTCCTGAATATGATCCTCTTAAACCCAAGAATAAAAAATATACATGTCCCAAGGGCCTGCACCTACCCCAACCACCCCAAATCAAAACCTAACGCGACATCTCACACGGTTCATAGGTAGCACAGTTTCTGTAAGGATTGGGTCGGAGTGGCTGATGGTCTCTTTTGCTGACTTTGCCAAATGGGCGTTACTCGGCGCAACGAGTCTACGAGACTCGATTCCTAGAAATGAGCGCAAAGCATCTAAACAAACGTTTAGGGCATCATCAAGACATGTTATGAGAGTCTGTAGAGGAGTTTGAGTGTCGCGGAATGTGGCAAGAATCCCTAGCCCCTAAGCCCCTGAGCCCCTCCGTGCCTCAGACATCAGCAGCTCGGCGGGCGTCTTCCCTTGCCTAGCTTTGCCAGAAACCTATATATATATACATACATATGTACTGTTTGAAACTTTTAACTAAAACCTTTCACCCTAAACTCCAAAGGGCAAAGGACAAAAAACTGCTATACTGAGGGAATCCCAGCTGCAGTGAACCTGCCGTGGCTTTCGCCGCCACGTCTGCAGCGGCCGCGACCAGGCGTCGGGCGAGCGCAGCGCTTCCGTTCCACCTCAGAGGTCTCTTCTTCTTTGATTTAGGGTTGGGTTTAGGGTTTAGGGATTAGGGAGTAGGGTTTAGGTTTTAGGGTTTAGGGTTTAGGGTTTAGCGGGGAGGGGGACTTGAGGCAGAGTGTAGACTTGGAGGTTCAGGGCACTTATATCCCAACCATAAGTGTAGTAAAAAACCCACTTATAAGCCCGTTAAGTACCCTAATTGGGTTATTAAAGAAGCCAGAAGAGAGGTTTGGGGTTTCTAGGGTTTAGGGTTTTCAGGGACCCTCCCCAACAACTTTTCCCAGCTTGACTCAGGGGGTCCAAAATAATCCTCTGCCCCAGACATCTCTAACATTTATTGCCTCGTATACCCTCTCAAGGAAACAGCAATAAGAACTAATCACCCTAAAGCCCCGAGACAGCGAACCCTAAAAACCAAGCTACAACCCTAAAGCCCTACACCGCTTAAACCCTCAATCAAACACTTGGTAGCCCAGTAACCATCTTCCAATAAGGGCACCTTCTTGTGTGGCTGGCTACTTTACAGGGGAACCCAGAACCAATAAAAAATGGTACCGGGGTACCACTGGGGTACCAAAAATAACCCGTAATATAGGGGTCGGAATAATTGCAAATTGCTACTAGTATTCCCTCAGGGTCCCTGAAAAATTATACCAAAACCCCATTCCAATTATTCAGGCCCCAACACTAAATTAGAGCTGGAGACATCCCGAAGACCGATCTTCCCCAACACTGGACCTCAAGAACCCACATCTCTACTTGGAGGTTCACGGTACCTAGTAATTAACCCAATTACAGCTGTGCTGTTAGCCCAACTATGACCCTAGTAGGGTACTCAAGGGGCTTACAAGTGGGTTGTAACTACACTTGTAATTGGGCTATAAGTACCCTGAACCACCAAGTAGAGGTTTTACCTTGGACCCTTCAGGTTCTACCCTTGGGTTTCACTAAGGTCGTATAAGGGCCATGTGAGCAGTATATTAAGGGAAACCTTTAGGGGTAGAACCTCAGGGGTACGAGTCTGAATCCCTTGAGCATCCGACTCTCTTGGCAGGTGGCCTAATAGTCCTGCGCGGGGTCTTACCATCAGAACTTTCAGAAACGTAAACGTAGGTCAAGTAGGCCAAAACCCAAAAGCCTTAAACGATTACAAGCCTTGAGCCCTAAAGCCCCAAAGCCGAAATGACCCTAAACCCTAAACCCTAAACCCTAAACCCTACACCCTAAACCCCACTGTGCCGACTGGCGACTGACAAATGGCGTGCAGTGCTGTGCGTCCCAACGCATCTGGCAGATTGGGGTCCGCCTTTGCTGTTTTTTCGGGCTTGAAGATTCAGGGCTCTGAGGGTTAAGGGCAGTTAAGGGGCTTAAGGACTTAATGGGGTTTAAGAGGGTTGAAGAGGGTCACGTAGGGCCTAAGAGGGTTGAGTAGGTCTAGTAGGGTTGACAAACGAAGGCTTGAAAGGGCGAAAGACTTAAGAGGGTCGAGGCTTAGGTCGTTTTAGGGTTTCGGGTTTAGGGTTTAGGGTTTGGGGTCACCGGGTTATGTTGGTTAGACCGGCTTTCGAGGAGAAACGTATAGGTGCAATGTGGCTTGTAGGTTGCATTTTGGTGTTGTCGCGGGTTGCATGCGTAGTTGCAGGGTTTAGGGCATGTTCTTACAGGTTGCAAAGGGAGGGGCCCGCTCCGTAAAGCTGTAAAGCTAAAGAACTTGTAACCTAAGGTATATGAAGTGTAAGCCAGCTTGACGCAACTTTGCTTCTAGTTATGACTAGGTGGCCTTCTCTGTAGACCTCAAAGTACAGTGATCTTTAAGTATATACCCACCACATTGGTCAGAATTAGCGAATTTCTATCAGGAACCCGGTATAAATTGTCCGAAAACGATACTAAACGCCCTACACTCTTTCTAGGTTGGTCCCGAACATACCCTTCGAAGAATATTCCTACATAGGGTCCTCTTTAACCCAAGACAGGCAAACATGGTGTCTCCCAAGTGCCTGCCCAGTTTAAGGTGGTAGAGATTCATTCTGCGTTCAAGAAGCCCGTGCCCGCAGGAGCATCTCCAAAATCACCGGCCGCTGTGCCACGTCCTGCCGGCTTGTGCTTTAAATCCCACCCCATAACCCCGGAAATGCCCTAAGCCCCTACATTAGCTGAGGGGCTTAAGGCTTCGGGGTTGCTAAGCAGTACCCTAAGCCCCTGAGTTTGCCCCAGATACCCTCAGCCCTTAGCCGAATCAGACATGGGCACCTTCAACCCTAATTCTGAACCCTAAAACCCAAAGAAACAAGCTACAAGCCCAATAAAGCCTGTCAACCCCATCAGCCCTATAAACCTGTTTAGCACCCGTAAGCCCGATAATACACTCGCCCCCTATTAACCCTGATAAACCCTGCAAACCCCGCAAAACCTATAAGCCCTATAAACCCCTAAACACTAAACCCTAAACCAGCAAGAAACCCCCCCCCACCCAAACCCTAAACCCTAAACCCTAACCTCCCCCCCCCCCCCCCCCCCCCCAAAAAAAAAAAAAAGAAAGTGGAAAGTCCTGACTCTCGGTGGCTGAGCGCGTCTGCTCCGCCAAAAAGTGCAATGGACTCTTTGAGCTAAAACACCGCAGCTGGGCATTGCACAGTGCTGGATCCTGGTGGGTTCGGGAAGTTTAGGGTTTAGGGCTAGGGTTTAGGGTTTAGGGTTTAGGGTTTAGGGTTTAGGGTTTAGGGTTTAGGGTTTAGGGTTTAGGGTTTAGGGTTTAGGGTTTAGGGTTTAGGGTTTAGGGTTTAAGGCTTAGGGTTTAGGGTTTAGGGTTTAGGGTTTAGGGTTTCGGGTTCAGCATCTCAAGTCCGAGCATTCACTCAAGCAGCTTGTCAAGTGTTGGAAACAAACCCACCCACCCAAGAAACCCATAACATTGAGAAAATACAAAGTTCACTCAATACATTCCCAGTAGTTAGTTTTTAACGGACCCAAAACCCGAATTCTAAGCCCTAAACCCTACGGTTTAGAAGGTCATATGGGTGAAGGCTCGGTTTTGGTCAAAAATCCAGAAAATGAGAGACGCCCTCATTTGGGGTGTTTTTGGAGGAAGTTTGAGGCAAGGGGGTGGGGGGGGGGTGGGGGGGGGGGGGGGGGGCGAAATTCACCGTTGCCGACTTTTGCGGCCGAAATTCACCGTTGCCGACTTTTGAGGCCGAAATTCACCGTTGCCGACTTTTGAGGCTCACCGTTGCCGACTTTTGAGGCCTGGAAATTCACCATTGCCGACTTTTGAGGCCTGGAAATTCACCATTGCCGACTTTTGAGGCCTGGAAATTCACCGTTGCCGACTTTTGAGGCCTGGAAATTCACCATTGCCGACTTTTGAGGCCTGGAAATTCACCGTTGCCGACTTTTGAGGCCTGGAAATTCACCGTTGCCGACTTTTGAGGCCTGGAAATTCACCGTTGCCGACTTTTGAGGCCTGGAAATTCACCGTTGCCGACTTTTGAGGCCTGGAAATTCACCGTTGCCGACTTTTGAGGCCTGGAAATTCACCGTTGCCGACTTTTGAGGCCTGGAAATTCACCGTTGCCGACTTTTGAGGCCTGGAAATTCACCGTTGCCGACTTTTGAGGCCTGGAAATTCACCGTTGCCGACTTTTGAGGCCTGGAAATTCACCGTTGCCGACTTTTGAGGCCTGGAAATTCACCGTTGCCGACTTTTGAGGCCTGGAAATTCACCGTTGCCGACTTTTGAGGCCAAAATTCACTGTTGCGGACTTTTGAATTAGGGTTTAAATACCCTATGATAGAGTAGTTTAGGGTTTAGGGTTTAGGGTTTAGGGCTTGGGGATCAGGGCTTATGTTTCTAGGGAAGTTGAGGAGTTTAGGACTTGCACGGAAGTTTTAGGCGAAGGGTTGGCATTCGGGCTGGCAGGACTTATAGGGAAGATCAGGGGTCATTTTCCAGACCCAGGAGTGACAAGGGTACCCTTTTTGGTTTTAAGGGGATTATACAGGAACCCCAACCCTAAAACATGGAAAGAAGGGCCTACTCCGGGTCCTAGTTTTTGATTGAGAAGGCAAGGCCTATACGGGTCAGGTTTGTTTTAGGGTGCAGGGTTTAGGGTTTAGGGTTTCGTGTCTAAACCCTTAACCCTCAACCCCAAACTTTAAACCCTGAACCCGAAACCCTAAGTTCAGCTTTCAAGCCAGGAGAGGGCTACAGCCTAAACCCCAAAAGCTCGACAGCTTTGAAGCTGTGCAGAGTCCTCGCTCAGCAGCGCCTGAACCGCATCCGGCCGTCGTCTCAGGACTGCGTCAGCCATGGCGAACTTGGCCCTCTCGCACTTGACCTTGCGATTTCTGAAAGGCTCCATGTTGGGATCCCAGGTACTATAGTCCCTACTAAGGACTGTTCGTATAAGGGAGTACATCCCAAATTCCATGCTATGTTTTGGGTTGCGTTTCAGAGGCTTTTAGCGTGTTTCAGGGCTATAGGTTTCTAGGGTTTCGGGCTGAGTGGTTATAAGGTAAGGCTGAGGCTTCAAGGCGGATTGCGAGCTTGAGGTTTGATCTGATAAGGAGCTTTGGGTGGTGCGGGGTTTAGGGTTTAGGGTTTAGGGCTACGGTCGCAGCCTACTCCCTTGAACCCTTAAAACCCTTCAAGCGCTTGCAACTCTGCCTCCTGACCAGGCAGCCTAAGACGAGATTCTACAGGTAGCAAAGGCTATGGCTTCCCTGCTGCTTGCTAGGGGTTTGGAGTTTGGGGTGGGGTTTGGGGTTTGGGGTTTAGGGTTTAGGGTTTGGGGTTTAGGGTTTGGGGTTTAGGGTTTGGGGTTTAGGGCATCAGAGCCTTTGCCAAGATAGCCGAATCGAAAGCGGCGTAGCCAATCGAGGACTCAATCTCCAGCAGAATCATTCTGCGATCCTCCTTTGCAGTACTACTTGGAGGTTCAGGGTACTTAGAAGCCCAAATATAAGTATCCCAGTTGTAACCCTAGTAGGGTACTTAGAAGTACCCATGAACCTCCAAGCAACAATTTGGGAGCTCCCCCTTCTACTAACAGTCCTGAATTGGGACTAGAGTACCTACGATGATCCCTCTTATGGACTGTTCGTATAGGGGGGGGGGGGGGGGGGGGGGGAACTCTTGTTTAAGGGACTTATAGGGGCTCAGAGACCACACGAGAAGGGTTCTGTAGGTTGAGCCCTTAAGGTTCATAGATGAGGACCAGACAAGAGACAGAAGAGTCTAGGCTTTAGGCTTTAGGGCAGCCTTTAAACCCGTAGTACATAGAAAGACCCCAACGATCCAGTATCCCCTGAACTCCGCATCCCGGCCCTAGCCTGTATGACACAGATGTTTGTTCTCTTGACCGAACATGAGAGGAAGAAATGCTATTTCATGATCAGTGGAATTCCTGAATTATACACCACCGAAGATCCCGAACAGTTAGAAACAGTCACAGGCACGTCAAAGAAACAGTGGAGACAACGAGAGACAAAGGGAGACGAAGGGAGAAGGGAGACGAGGAGCCCAGGAACCCGGCAACAGTGCTCACAATCTCGGCAATCCCTAAATGAATTCAGAACCCCAACAGTAGACTGTTTGGGAAAAAGTTTTTTGCTCAGGAGCCGGTGCCCCACGATAGCTCCGGAGTGCTATGTTCATAACTCTACAAACCCTGAATCCAACCTTGATCCTTGCAAGCCCCAAAACTATAATGTCTCAGTGGACCCTATGAATAAACCCGAAGACAAAAAAGCCCGAACAAAAACCTAAACATCAGCCCTATGCCTCCTATGAGTATTCAGGGCAAGTGCACCCACCGGAAAAAATGCATCGCTCCTCTCGCGAAGCGCTGGCAAACTGGACGCTCTGGAGGGACGACACAGAGACGTCCGAGGCCACGCGTCCGCAGAACTCGCTGTCCATCCCCAGACACCTCGAGAAGGGTTGTTGGTTTGGGGCTTTCAGGGCTTTCAGGGGGTTTTAGAGGTTCTTAGCGGTATTGAGGGTGGTAGGGATTTTAGGGGAGGGGTTTGGCATCAGGTTTAAGGTTCTTGAGTCCGAGACTTAGGTTGATCCGTCTTCCCTCTCATCTCGTACCATCATGTAGTACAAGGTGTTCTGAATGTGGTTTCTTCCTGTCTCTTCTGCCTTCGCCTCGTTCCGTTGCCTCCGTTCCGTTCGTTACGTCCGTTCTACGTTGTGTCTCCTTCTTGTGCATACCCGAACCCAACCCTGAAAAGACACAAACAAAAGCTAAACGAGCGAGGCCTCCCTTAAACAAGCCGAAACACCATACCAGCCCTAAGCGGAAACCCTGAAAAATTGCCATTTCTTATAAATAGGAATTCAGAAGATAGGTACCTTGTACTTTTCCCCCCGCCCCCAGTGCTATCAAACCCTTTGATGGATCACCCTAGGTCAATCCTGGCACCCAAACTCCCTGCTAACCACGAAGATGAGGAACAAGAGCTTGCATCCAGCATAAAGTACCTAGTTCTCTGAATCTGTACCAGGAACCAGTCACCTCCTAGACCCCTGAATCCCACTTGGTTTTAGGGTTTAGGGGTTTAGGGGTTTAGGGTTTAGGGTATCTTCGCCGAATTCCGGAGATCCCCAGTAAATCGGAAAATTGCCCAGGGACAAGGCCGTATGCAGCTCCTTGAGTACCCAAAGCCTGCCAGGTCGAGGCTTTGGAGTTAAAAGGGCTTGGAGGATTTCGGGTTTAGGGTTTAGGGTTTGGGGTTTGGGGTTAGGAGGTCAGGGCTTGATGGTACGAAACAAAGCCAGGCAGAGCGTAGCGGGGTGGTTCCGGAACGAGGTTAGGGACTCTAAGCCCTAAACCCTAAACCCTAAACCCTAAACCCTAGGCAATTTAAGGGTTTTGAGGTTTGCCTTACTTTCCGCGTTTGTCAAAAGACTGTCCCAGCGCCTCATCCACCAAAGAATCCGGGAGTCGGGGGCTTCAGGTTAAAGGAAACGTTTAGGGTTTAAGGTTGGGTTCGGCCGGTCCACACTAACAGTCACCACCAGCAGACCCACAAATAAAAGCACCCGGTAAATGCCAAAAAATTGACTGAGATTCCTGCTATTCCTGGTGCTATTCCTGGTGCTATTCCTGGTGCTATTTCTGGTGCATTTTTTTGTGCTATTCCTGGTGCTATTTCTGGTGCTATTCTTTGTGCTATTGTTTGTGCTATTTCTGGTGCTATTTTTTGTGCTATTGTTTGTGCTATTTCTGGTGCTATTTCTGGTGCTGTTGCTGGTGCTATGTGACTAACAACCACCATCAGCAGACCCACAAAAAACAGCACCCGGTAAATGCTAAGCTGCTAAAATTGACTGGGATTCCTGGTGCTATTCCTGGTGCTATTGTTTGTGCTATTTCTGGTGCTATTTTTTGTGCTATTCCTGGCGCTATTTCTGGTGCTATTTTTTGTGCTATTTCTGGTGCTATTTCTGCTGCTATGTGACTAACAGTCACCACCAGCAGACCCACAAAAAGAAGCACCCGGTAAATGCTAAAATTGACTGGGATTCCTGGTGCTATTTTTGGCCTGTGTGTTATAAGGCCACGGCGTTATTTGACTGTTAGTGTGGACCGGCCGAACCCAAGTTTAACATAGCAGCAGAAATAGCACCAGAAATAGCACAAACAATAGCACAAAAAATAGCACCAGAAATAGCGCCAGGAATAGCACAAAAAATAGCACCAGAAATAGCACAAACAATAGCACCAGGAATAGCACCAGGAATCCCAGTCAATTTTAGCAGCTTAGCATTTACCGGGTGCTGTTTTTTGTGGGTCTGCTGATGGTGATTGTTAGTCACATAGCACCAGCAACAGCACCAGAAATAGCACCAGAAATAGCACAAACAATAGCACAAAAAATAGCACCAGAAATAGCACAAACAATAGCACAAAAAATAGCACCAGAAATAGCACCAGGAATAGCACAAAAAAATGCACCAGAAATAGCACCAGAAATAGCACCAGGAATAGCACCAGGAATAGCAGGAATCTCAGTCAATTTTTTGGCATTTACCGGGTGCTTTTATTTGTGGGTCTGCTGGTGGTGACTGTTAGTGTGGACCGGCCGAACCCAAGGTTTAGGCTTTAGGGTTTAGGGCTAAGCACTGGGGCCTTGAAGGGGGGGGCACACCCCCCCATTGTGGGCGAGGCCTGCTGAAGGAGAATAGGTGGTCGTCCACTGCCACGGCATGCTCTGGAATCCGTTGCATCATCTGCCCAAACTTGTCCTGGGCTCGTCCCCTAAACCCTTAACCCTAAGCCCTAAACCCCAAACCCTGAACCCTCAGCCCCCCCTAAACAATACACCCCAAACCCTAGCCTAAACCTTGAACCCGAAACCCTAAAGCTAAATCTGGGTAAGCAAAAGTCTTCGACATCCATCAAACGGCTTCGTAGGGTTTAAGGCACTTGCGCTTAGCGTTGAGGCTTAAGGTTTCGGGTTCGGGTTGAAGTTCATAGGCTGTGGTTGTATTAAAGGTTTTAGGGTTTAGGGGGTGTAAGGATTTTGGGCAGAGGGGTTCTTCTATGGTTTCGGACTTTCGCATGAAAGTACCAAGCCATTTCTAAAAATTCCTGCGTGCTAAGCCGAATCGAAAGAACATGGCGACGAAGAACATTCAACCCTAAACCCTCAACCCTAAACCCTAAACCCCTGTAAAGCCTACTTGAACTACATGGGTACTTAGACGTCGGGCTACAAGTACCCTGCAAAAAGTGTATAACAACAGTTGCCCTACTTGTAATCCTACTTACGAGTACCCCAATGAACCTCCGAGTAAGCCCCCCTAAACCCTTGCAACCCAAAACTCTGAAACACTAAAACCCTAAAACCCCTAAAACCCTAAACCCCTGAAACCCTAACACCCTAGACCCTCAAAGCCTCGATGGAATAACAAGTGTCCTAAAACCCTAAAACCCTTAAACCCTGAAAGCCTAACACGCTAACACCATAAAAGCCTAACACCCAACAACCCTCCATGCAATAACCCCTAACAGCCTAAAACCCCAAAAAACCCTCCATGCAACAACAAGTGTCCATCTCACCCTAAACCCTAAACCCTAAACCCTAAACCCAAGCGTCCATCTCACAGAGCGGATGGTCGTTCAAGAACTTCTCGGCGCCGCAGCCGCACGGGTTGGCATCGGTCCCACAGATGGACACATGCCTGGGTGTGGGCTCTCTGGAAACTCGACTACCCTAAACTCTGATGTAGGGTCCTAGGGTTTTGGGGGGCTCTGGAAACCCGAATACCCTAAACTCTGGTTTAGGGTCTTAGGGTTTTAGGGTTTTTGGGTTTGGGGGATTGTGGGTTTTTGGGTTTTGGGGTTGTAGGGCTTTAGGGTTTTCAGGGTTTTGAAGCATTTGTGTTCTAGGGGTTTGGGATGGCTTCATCCCCATCCACCGCATCGAGATGGATGCCTGAAGGTTCACTGTTCACTGAGGACTTAGGGACACAGAGCCTCCTTAAACCCGAGGGTTTAGGGTTTAGGGTTTAGGGTTTCGGCAAAGCATATAAAGCTTCCCATGGGCCTCCCCAGATGCTGGTTGACGCCGAAGATGCAAAGCCAGTAGGTCTTGTCCAGCTGCTCCTGGGTACCTGGGCTTAGGTAGAATAGGGGTTTAGGGTTTAGGGTTTGGGGTTTAGGGTTGGGGTTTAGGGTACCTGGGCTCCTATAGACCCCCCAGAAATACCTAGGAATAAGAAGGGGGTTAGGGTTTAGGGTTTAGGGTTTAGGGCTTGGGGTTTAGTGTTTAACCCAAGAGTACCGTAGGAATAAAGGGGGTACCCTTTTTGGTTTAAAGGGGCTCGCAAGGGTGGCCTAAACCCTAAAGAACGAGAACAAGGGCCTATTCTTGCGTGCCTGGGCTTGACAAGCAGTTGGGTTGGATGGGTCTATGGAAAACTTATTCAGGATTCAGGGCTTCGGGTTTATGTTTGGGGTCTTAGTAGCCCAATAACCACATTATAATAAGGGCACCCTTTTTGGGGTTGGTTACTTTACAAGCGAACCTTAAGCCAAAAAAAGGGGAAACAGATACCTCTGGGCTACTCTGGGGTTGAAGCTTTCGGCTTCATAACAAGGGTTCGGGGTTTGGGGTTTGGGGTTTGGGGTTTGGGGTTTGGGGTTTAGGGTTTAGGGTTTAGGGTTTAGGGTTTACGGTACATGTCCTCAAGTCTTAGCACCTGACCCTCTCTGTTCGAGTATCCCAGAGGCACATCCTCTCGCTCGGCAGAACCTGACCCGACGCGTGGGCCAGAACTGCCTCCACCAGGGACATGAAGGAATTCCTGCACAGGGCCCCCTAGACCCTAAACCCTAAGCCCTAAGCCCTAAACCCTAAACCCCAAACCCCAAACCCCGAACCCTAAACCCTAAACCCTAAACCCTTCCAATCTAAACCGCAACTCGGGGCCCCTTGCAAAGCTACTTGTTCTAACCAGGGGACACCTCCCTCCTGTATGGGGAGCAGGGTTTAGAAGGATTTTTGTTCGGGTTTAGGCTTGAAGGGTCAGGGTTTTAAGGGTTTAAAGGTTTAAGGGTCTAAGAGTTTATGAGGGTTTAAAGGTTTAAGAGTCTATATTTAAAGGTTTAAGAGTTTATAAGGGTTTAAGGGTTTATGGGTCGCTCAACGCGGCCTTGAAAAGTGCAGTGTGCAGCCATTGTCGATTCCGCCTCCTAAACCCTACTTCAGGGTTTGGGGAAATGCCCCCAAACCCTCCACCCTAAACCTTTTCCTCAACCCTAAACCCCAAACCCCAAACCCCAAACCCTAAACCCTAAACCCTAAACCCTAAACCCTAGGGCCCTCAAAGCCAGCTCTTGTCGCCAAGACTCCCCCACCAGTGGGACATGAGGCAGGTCGGCTCCTTTGGCCCACCTTCGAAAAGCTCTACCATGGCGCAACCTCAGAAAGCAACAGTTTCAGGTTGGTTTAGGGTTTAGGGTTTAGGGTTTAGGGTTTAGGGTTTAGGGTTTAGGGTTTAGGGTTTAGGGTTTAGGGTTTAGGGTTTAGGGTTTAGGGCCTGACCTCAAGGTTTAGAGGTAAAGGGTCTTGGGTCCTCGGTTGTTTTGCCTTTGGGGAGGCTTGTTTGGGGGATTTGGGTTGGGCTTTCTTTGGGGGGGGGGGGGGGAACACACTGTTTGGGAAACACCCGTGTTCGCCAACTAAGCCATAGCTTCTAGCTGTGCACCCAATCGATGTAACCCTTCGACAAGAAGCATCTTGGACAACTAAAGGAGGGCAGGCCGATCTTTCTAGGTTTGAGGGCATCTACCCAGTGGCTTTTACTGCACCCTGTTCTTGTGGAACCTAACATGCTGATTAAGGTTTCGGAATCTTGGGGCCAAGAAGTCCCTTGCAACCATATGAACAAGTCTGAAAGTATCCTGAAAACGGCACCTAAAGACAGGGGTAGGGGGGATAAGCCTCTAGGCACCCTGTAAGGTTTCCGCTCTTTGGGGCCCTCAGCCCGCAGACATGAAAACCTGACAGCTCTCTCAGCCCAAAAGAGTTTAGGGTTTAGGGTTTGAGGTTTAGGGTTTAGGGTTTAGGGTTTAGGGTTTAGGGTGTAGGGTTTAGGGTTTAGGGTTTAGGGTTTAGGGTTTAGGGTTTAGGGTTTAGGGAACCATGAACCCCTTCAACAGCTTCAAGCCGGAAACATCCTAGAAACCTCAGCGCGCAAAAGCCTGAAAGCCTTCAATGACGTAAATTATCCCAGACCCCCCCCCTAAACCCTAAACCCTAAACCCTAAACCCTAAACCCACCCCCCCCCCCCCCCCCCCCCCCCTCCTAAGCAGGCTCACTCCAGGGCTTCATGTGGGCCTTATTTGGGGAATAGAGTCCCTAAACCCTAAACCCTAAACCCTAAACCCTAAACCCTAAACCCTAAACCCTATGTGATTTCCTGAAACCCTACATCATCCGCTCCTGTTCTTCGAGGAGCTCCGGCCCCGCGTCTTGGGGATGACGATGTCCCGCACCACCTCCGCTGTACCTCGGCGCTACGGGCTGGTAAGCCCTCATCCCGAAACCCTAAGCAAAGCCTAGGGTTTAGGGTTTAGGGTTTAGGGTTTAGGGTTTAGGGTTTAGGGTTTAGGGTTTCGGGTTTAGGGTTTAGGGTTTAGGGTTTAGGGTTTACGCTGCAAAGTGCGCAATCACCAAGGCCATAGCCAGGCCATAAACAAGACATGTCAACATGGCAACCGCGTGTGTCAGTATGCCGAATCTGAACCAGCACTGCGGCAAGTTGCGAAAACAGCACACACACAGATATATGTATGTACATATAGCTATAATTCCACATCCCATATAGTATCTTTGGGTCTCAGTGTGAAAGCAATCCATGCAAGACCCTAGATTAGCCCTAAACCAAGCTGAAGGATCCCCCAAAGAAGCCCCTGGCAGCCATGTGGCTCATCTCAGAGAGCCTGCGGCCCTCGTAGATCCGATGGTCCTCCGTATGAAACGTCAGAGGGTCGTGGCTTTCAGATGTAGGTTTGAATTCTGGCTCAGAAGAAACCCCAAACCCTGAGTTTCGTTTTTGAGTTTAAGGTTTATAGGGTCGAGCGCCTAAGTCAAGGATCCTCAGACCAGGCCATTTTTTTCGACCTTAAGCACTTACACCCTTCGACCCCGAGACCCTCGAGCGACCATTCTTGTGAGTTGTAGGGCAGTTTAATCCTAAACCCTAAGCCCGAAACTCCAAACCCTGCACCCTAGAGGGCTTAGGTTTAGTGAAAACATGCCTGCGCTTAGCAGAGTAGCTATGAATTTAACCTTTAGCTGCCTGATTAAGAAACCCAATAAACCCAAAAAGGCTAAGGATCTAAAGTTACAGTAAAGCACCACAGAGAAAAGAGCCTTCACGAAGCGGATCAACTGCCGGACGGAGAAGCCTCGTCGTCGTAGCTGCGCAGCTACCTGCAAGCTGAGTCCGGCGTTTAGGGCTTAGGGTTTAGGGTTTAGGGTTTGGGGGATGATTCCGATGCGGCCTACACCCTTCCTTGACAAGAAGAAGTGCCTCTCAGCTGTACTGCATCTAAACTCGGGTGCCAAGGTTACCCCTAAACCCTAGATCCTAGAATGCATATTAAACTTGGTTCTCACCCATCATGCTGTGGGACTAGTCCGAAGGCGCTTCAGCGCCCAATACCCCTAACAACTCTCCATACCAATTTTATTTGACCATCCCCATACATTAGTTGCAACTAAGGTAGGGCGCTAAAACCTGAAGATACCTGCAGCGCGGAGGATGTTGCAGGTGGACCCAAAACCCTAAACCCCCAAGACCCCTAAAAAACCCCAAAACCCTAAACCGAAAATTCAACCCTAAACCCAAAAATCCTATAACCCTAACAACCTAAACCCTAAACCCTGAAGCCTAAAAACCTAAACCCTATACCCTAAACCCTGAACCTCTAAGCCCTAAACCCTAAACTTAAACCCTGTCTTGGGCTTCCGGCCTCCTCTTGGCTGGGCCATGGATGGAAGATGGGCGAAACGCGCCGCTGTTCCTGAAGAGCTTGGGATTTATTTTTTCACCCAGGGCTTGTGAGCTCAGTAAAGGATTTAGGGTTTAGGGCTTAGGGCTTAGGGTTAAGGGCTTCAGGGGTTTAAGGCGTTTAGTAGGGGTTTAGTAGGGGTTTAGTAGGGTTTTATACGGTGTATAAGGGCTTTTGGGCTTTGTGGGGGGCTCTTAGGTCGGAGGGCTGGTTGGGTTGAGGCTTTTGAGTTCAGAGTCGGGGACTTTCGCATCTCGTTTTCAAAGGGGCTTGGAATGGTTTACCGGGGGAGGGTTCGGGAAGTTGGGGTTCGTGAGGGTTTAGGGTTTAGGGTTTAGGGTTTAGGGTTTAGGGTTTAGGGTTTAGGGTTTAGGGTTTAGGGTTTAGGGTTTAGGGTTTAGGGTTTAGGGTTTAGGGTTTAGGGTTTACGGTTTAGGGGGCGCTTCGGGGGGCTTGGTTTCGAGGTTTGGGGCTTGCGGGGGGTTCAGCAAACAAAGGAGCTTTCTTGACCTATTGTGGGGGTACACTATCCTACGACTACAAGTTTAGGGGAATTGGGTGGTTTGGGATGGTCGCAGTTGGTAGACTACGTCTTGGTAGCCCAGCAACCATATCGGAATGCCGGCACCCTTTTCGGGGAGCTGCTACATCTATTGGGGGGGGATCTTGGGAGGCTTCCCCCTATACTAACAGTCCTAAGGATCCACTAGAATTTCCCCATTAAGGACTGTTAGTATCAGGGGGAACATCCCAGGGGAATCCGGAATCAACCCCAATAGGGCAGAATAGTACCACTGGGTTACCAAGCCCTGCGTTTGGGGGACGAAAGGATAACAAACCTTCAGCCAAGAGGGCTTGCAGGATTCAAGGTTTAGGGCTTAAGACTTCGAGGCTCTTATAGGGCACAGCCTAAACCCTAAACCCTAAACCCAAAACCTAAAACCCTAAACCCTTTAACTTAAACACCAAAAACGACAACTAGCGAGCCCGCATCATATCCGTAGGCTGGGGGCTCCCCAGAGGTAGTCCAACAGCTGGTGGCAGTCCACATGCTGGTCCTGACTGGTTTAGGGTTTAGGATTTAGGGTTTAGTGTTCTCAGCTCGTCCTGACTGGCGCGGGCTTGCTATCTCTACACAGGGAGCCCTACATGCCTTGACTACGGAAAAGGCCCTACACTTCATACTCCCTAACCCGAAACCCTACATTCCCTACAACCTTAAAAAACCCAAAAACCCTAACATGTTAAAACCCTAACCCTCAAACCCCAAAACACCACAAAGGCCTTGCAGCCCTCAACCCCAAAGCCAGGAACCTTCAGCCCACACAGGTCCCCAACAGCTCCAAGAAACCCAAAAGCCCCAAAGAACCCTAAACCCTAAGCTATAGGCCCCTAAACCCTAAACCCTAAACCCTAAACCCTAAACCCTAAACCCTAAACCCTAAACCCCCAAACCCCCAAACCCCCAAACCCTAAACCCTAAACCGAAGGTTCAGGGCTTAAGGGTGGGGAAGCAGCCTGCGGGCCGGCAGCCCCGGAGGAAACGATGAGGGCATCCAGTGCTTCGACCTGAGCGTCTCTTCTCCTTATGGGGGTTTAGGGTTTAGGGTTTAGGGTTTAGGGTTTAGGGTTTAGGGTTTAGGGTTTAGGGTTTCGGGTGGAGGGTTTAGGGTTTAGGGCGTAAGATTTGGGGTTTAGGGGTTAGGGTTTACAGTCAGGGTTTAGGTTTTGTGTGTGTATATATATATAATGAAGGGTGTAGGCCTTAGTGTTTAGGTTTTATACATTTATATATATTATTATATATACACATATATATATATATACATATAACGTATGTTTCAAACAGCTACTTATAAGCTGTTTTGAAAATCTGTTGAAGGGCGACAGGGTAGGAATGCCAGGGTTCAGTTTTATAAAAAAATGTTGCATTGTTTTTTAAGGTTTTTGGCCCGAATGTTGAGCAACCCGGTGTGCTCTTGCACAAAGTGATCCATGTACCTAAACCCTAAACCCTAAACCCTAAACCCTAAACCCTAAACCCTAAATGCGTACCAATGAAGAAGGCAACTGCGCCCACCAAGAAAGGACTCCTGGGACTCCAAAAAATGCCCTAAATCCTGAGAACCCTAAGGTTTGGGGGTTTAGGGTTTAGGGTTTGGGGTTTAGGTTTGCGTCGATGATGATGATGATGATGATGACTATGATGAGGATGAGGGTTGCGGGTTGAAGGTTTAGGGTTTAGGGCTAGGGTTTAGGGTTTCGTGTTTAGGGCCTCGAAGTCCGAGAGCTCCTCCAGGAGGCGCAGGAGCGTCGACCGGGCCAGGCGACCCTGCGAGTCCCAGTGGCGTCGGAAGATGGCCAGCACTGGGCCCAAGTCCATGGCTAGGGTTTAGGGTTTGGGGTTTAGGGTTTAGGGTTTAGGGTTTCGGGTTTAGGGGTTGTGCGCTGCAAGTAACTCAGTAACTTCGCGATTTGGGGGGGTTTCCGAACATTGGGGTACCCTTTTGAGGGGCCCAAGTCCATCGCCAGGTGGCAGGATCGAGTAATTTAGGAATGTAGGGTTTAGGGTTTAGGGTTTTGGGTTTAGGTTTCTAGGTCTGGGAGGGTTAGGTTGGGCCTAATAAACCGGCATAATTTAGCATTTTGGGGTTTGGGGTTTAGGGTTGGCTGAGCGTCGGTCTCTGTTTCTTGTGTTGGGGTAGGAGATGTCAGGGTGGCGAGAGCTGTGAAGCTCTCAGGCCACCCTAAACACTCACCGAAAACCCTAAGACCTAACCCTAAACCCTAAACCCTAAACCCTAAACCCTAAACCCTAAACCCTAAACCCCTTCATCCTTCAGCTGCCAGTCGGTGTTGAACGGCTCAGGGGCTCGGAGCCTGCTCTTTGAGCCTAATTCACCAGAGGCTTGGTGGTAAAGTTTGAGTTTAGGGTTTAGGATTTAGGGTTTAGGGTTTAGGGTTTAGGATTTAGGGTTTAGGGCTGAGGGCTTAGGGTTTAGGGTTTAGGGTTTAGAGGCAATCCGATCAAGGGCTGTTAGTACGTGGGGGAACATCCTAAGGTTTCGGGTTTAAGGTTTCTTGGCCTTGAACAACAAAACCAGCAGCTCTGGACCCTCCCGATACCAAGCTGGGTCGCTGCTACCAAGATCTACAGGCCGATAGAGCCGTGTAAAAATCTGTCGGAGAACCCCTCCCGTTAGCACTGTTCTATAGTTAGAGCACCCCCGATACCCTGAACCTTAAACCCTAAAACCTAGACCCTAAACCCCAAAACTTTTAAATTATTAAACCCCCAAACCCCGCCTAAACCCTAAACCACAAGCTTTGATGATCATACTCTCGCGCCCTCACCGGCCAACAGCTGACATTCCAAAAGCGCTAGCCCTGCGAGAGCAAAGGGCCGTGGTGCATCCGTATGGTTTAGGGTTTAGGGTTTAGGGTGAACGGTTTAGGGTTTAGATTCTGGCAACCTGATGCCCCCTGAGACATAAGATTCAAGAATCAGCATCAAAAACGCACAAAGTGGAAGATAGAGAAGAAGAAAACGAAAATGAAGAATAACACAAAAAAATCAAGAATCGGAACAGAATCTCCGAAATAGGAACAGGAAGAGGACAAGGAATAGGAGTAAGAACAATCACAACAATAACAAGAGCCTTTGAAGAAAACAACGCCGCACACAACTGGGGTGGGTTTGGAGGCTCTACCAAGATGCCAGTTTAAATGGGCCAATAGGAGTATGTAGGGATGAGAGGGATTGGGGGGCCCATAGCACTGTACAACTTCTTCCAACTCAGCCCCTCAAACCCAACCCCTAACCACAAAACAAAAACACACAAATCAAGCCCCCTCCTAACCACCCAAAAGCCACCTAAACCCTAAACCCTAAGCTTCCAGTCTGGACCTGCGCGACGTCCCCCCTGAGTTGGGGAGGTTTGGCGGCGCCCCTTGGTCGTGAGCCACTCTCCTCGAGGAGCACTAGGGGTTTAGGGTTTAGGGTTCAGGGTTCAGGGTTTAGAGCTAGGTTTAGGGTTCAGGGTTTAGGATTCTACTCGAAGGTTTTAGGGTTTAAGGCTGGGGCCTTCCAGGTTCAGGGTTTAGGATTCTACTTGAAGGTTCGCGGGTACTTCTAAGCGGGGCGAAAAGTAACCTGCACAAGGGTAGAACCATGGTTCCCTCTACTTATGACCCTACATCTTCGTACCCATGCACCTCCAAAGTAGGCCCTAAACCCTAAACCGTAAACCGTAAACCCTAAACCCTAAACCCCAAACCCTACACCTAAACCCCACACCCTAAGGGTTTAGGACGGGCCTTCGGGGGCCTTGTATGAAGCACACCGAGTTTAGGATATCCACGCAGGCACGGGGCCATCTGAAGTGAAAGCCACCTGGCCAAGAACTTTCCTGGCTTAGGGTTGAGGGTTGAGGGTTGAGGGTTTAGGGTCTAGGGTTTAAGGAATAGGGTGTAGGGTTTAGGGTTAGGGCTACGGGCTTGTGAGCCCCTGAACCGCCAAGTCCCGGGACCTAGACCCTGAACCTCTGCGGCCGAACCCCGAAACCCTTGAAACCTACTGGGACCCCTCCTGCAACGCCTGATGAACCGCTTTTCGCAGCTCTCCCATCGCGGCCTGGCAGAGGGGTCTGGAGTTTTCATTCTAAGGCTTTTTCGGGTTTGGCTCTATAAATCCCTAAACCCTAAACCCTAAACCCTAAAACCCCTCAACCCTAAACCGCAAGTAGGAAGGGAGTGCTTGATTCACATCCTATACCCCAGACCCTACCTCCAACAAAATCTTAAGCCCGACTGTACACCCCTGTAGTGAAACCCCCATGATCCCAAAACCCCTGCTGGAAACAACAAAACCTAATTCACCCCGTAGAGCTTGAACTTAACAAAACCCTAAACCCTACACCCTGCAAAAGACCTTCAACCCCGAACACCCCAAATCCTTAAACCCTAAACCCTACACCCCTAAACCCTAAGTACCCTAGACCCCCCTTAACCCCAAAAAGCCTCATCTGCAAGACCTTAATTCCCCAAAAGCCCCTAAAGCCTTACCTGCAAGAGACCTGAAACACCCTACACCCTAAACCCCTAAACCCTGAACTCCGTAAACCCCTTTAAGATCCCTCAAACCCCCTCAAACCCCCATAAACCCCAACCTTAAACAAAAACCCTTCAACCCCAAACTCCTGAACCCTAATTACCCCAAACCCCCAGAAAAACCCTAAAGCCTCATCTACAAGAGACGCTAAACCCCCTAACGCCCGAAACCCCCTTAAACCCGCTTACACCCCCTTAAACCCCCCTTTAAACCCAGACCCTAAACCCTAAACCCTAAACCCTAAATCCTAAACCCCTAGCCGCTAAGCCCCCCCCTAAACCACTAAAGCCTCGTCTGCAAGACACGCCTGCGTGTCGCCGGAGTTGCGTTGCAGCAATTCCGGTGCGGCGGTCTCCAGGCGCTCGCTGAGGTCTGGAAAGGGCCTCGAAGTCGCGTGAGTTAGGGTTTCGGGTTTAGGGTTTAATTAGGGTTCAGGGTTTAGGGTTTAGGGTTCAGGGTTTAGGGTTAGGGCTAATAGGGGGGAGAGGGCTATGAGGGTTTGCAGTGTTTCTGGGCCTTCAGGATTTTTTGTTTTAAGGGTTCATATAGGGTTAGGCAGAAAATGTGCAGTGCTTCTCTCCGGCGTTCAGGGTTTAGGCTTTGAGTTCAGGGCCCCCCAAACCTCTTCAGGCTCCTGGTAAGAATGGTTCACGGGTACCTTCATACGTATGCTTCTAAGCCCCCTGAATACGGGTATAGACATACTTACCCTACTTAGTAAAGCCGACGTAGAAGTACCCCAAACCCCAAACTAAACACTGAACACTAAACCCTAACCCCTAAACCCTACGTACAAGTACCCATTTGGCCCTCGAAGTAGGTATGTATGCTCTATACCCCCCCCCCCCCTAGGGCCCACGTACATAATGGGTTCTAGATTCTAAGGTCCTTTATTGGGGCTCCGATTAGACGGAGCCTTCTATATGGCGCCCCAAAACCCTATTTAAAACCTCAGCCCTAAGCCCTAAACCCAAACCCAACAAAATGATCCATGACTTAGAGAATGCTGCACATGGACCATTGGGACATTGCATTCTTGGGATGCCAATCTAGGGTCTAGGGTTCTCCCCAAAGGCAGGACCAGAAACGTACAACGTTAACAGCTGTGGCGTAGGGTTTAGGGTTTAGGGTTTAGGGCTTCAGGTCTCGGGCTTGTTTTGGGGGAGTTTTGAATCTTGGGGGTTTGGTCTTGTAGCTCGCGGGAAAGAAATCTTCCTAAGGTCTTCAAAGCCCTGGGACCTTCATCTCTTAACGACCCCCCCAACCACCCGTCCCCCGACCCCAGTCACCCAACCTGGCCAACAAACCGAAGCCTAAGGGGGCTTAAAAAGGGTAAACGGGGTCAAAGGCGGGTGGGTTAAGGCTTCCGCTATGCGTTCAGGAACTATATCGAAAGGGTTCAGGATTAGGGTTGGGTTGAATCAGAGTTTGCAGATTTTATTCGGGGGTGTTTGGATCGCTTCCAAACGCCAAACCCTCAGGCAGGTGCACGCGCCCCCACGGCAGGAACCTCAGCTGAGTGGGTTGGTTAAGGACCTTCGCGAAAAAGCATCAGGCGCTAGACTTCGGCGCTTTAGTGTACCAAGGTCTTACTTCTCCAATAACGGGGACAAGAAGGTTAACCTTTATTATTCCTGCAAAACAAGGAAACCCGTAAAGTCTAAAGTTCAGGGTGTTTGGGATCCGAGATGTACGACAAAAGCCTGGGCCAATGGCATGACTCAACCCCTACACCAAAAACACAGTGCAGGAGCCTTAATCATTAGAATAGGTTTTGTGTGTGTGTGTGTGTGCGTTTTGTAATTACAGTATATCTACACATAACTAGAAGAGTTCTTTTTTTAGGGGGCAGGGGGGTTGCTAGAGTATATTGATAAAGGGACCATAAGGGTTTAGGGTTTAGGGTATTAATAGCAATTACTCCGACCCCTATATTGCCAGGTATCGATGTGGGCCCGGACCCTCTGAGGGTCCCTTCATATGGTTTCCGCGGTTTAGGGTTTAGGGTTTAAGGTTTAGGGTTTAGGGTTTAGGGTAACTAGGGACAATGGAACCATGGAACTACCCTGAGAGCCTTCTCCGCGAAACGAAACCCTAGAAGCCCACAGCCTTTGAAGCCGAATTTTCCCCTACGCATATCAGCCCTCAAACGTTGGAGCCTGCAAGCCCCGAACCCTGTAGTGCTAACACCCGCAGAATTAAAAACCAAGTAGAACTCATACACCTTTATGATACTGTTACCTTGAGTACAGACGTGAATATGAGAAAAATAC